ACACACACACACACACACACACACACACACACACACACACACACACACACACACACACCAGCTCCTGAGGAAGAAAAACTGAGGAAACTCGTGTAAAGCAAATCACTGCATTCAAGTGGATTAACTGCACAAGTACTCAGATTAAACTATCAATAAATCAAATGATCATGCAGCTACACCGTAAGCCATACATACTCTAACCACGCAACTCAGCACAATCAAAGCACACTTTCACATAAATATCCACGCAGGTTTAAGCAAAATTCGTATTTTACGATAAAATTATAACTGAACTTCAACAACTACTTCTATTTCTATTTTTGCATGCGTGGACAAAGCATTTTGAGGGCGCTTGATAAAAGTCAAGAAGTCCTTAACCCTTCTGTTAAAATACAGCACAAAAACACAACACTCACTCAATCACTGTTGCACACTGCGTGATCTGCTCACCTTTAAAGATGTTATTTACAACCAACCCGTGCGGGGATATTTCCTTCAGCAGTGGGTATCTTGTGCGTCCCAAGCAGATACAACTTTTTCAGAGAGCACCAACACGCCAGAAAAAAATCGACTCTGCTGTCCGTTCCCCGTAGTTACAGTCCGCTTCTTTTTCCAAAGCCGCGCAGTCCACGGCGGCTCTGATCTGCTGCTGATCCACGGCTGCTGCTCAGGTTGAAGGTGTTTGGTACTGTCACCGGCACAGCCCGATGTAGCGCTCTGCGAGGCGGGCTCACTCTGTGCTTCAGCGGGGGCTCGAGAAACGATCCACAACAGTAAAGGTTCAGGACAGGGACGGGGAAGGCAGGGGCTGTGAGAGGGGGGGCCGCGACATCCGATGAAGCCATTCCTTGACGCTCGTGCCTTTGCGCCAGTGGGGTTGATATACTGATATAAAAACCTCATTTAAAACTTGTAAACACTATCCACGTGCGAACTAGTTTTTTCAAGCTCAACGGAAGAAAAACCAACAGTTCAGAAAACTGCACATTTTTAGTTTAGTGTTTGAAAGTAACTACTGAGCTTGTTGTTTTGCTAACTTGAATATTGTTCTAAATTATATAAATCACTTTAAAAGACATTCCTTAATAGAGTTTTATGTTTGTGTCTTATTATGCCATTGATTTGAGACAGAAAGTTTTATTAGCAGTTTTTCCAACATGCAAATGTGCATGTAAAATTCTGCAAAGACCAAAAGACTGTGTACATTTTGTCTTTATTGGACAGTTAATTGTTATTTTAAATTCCCTGCTCTCTGTTAGTTGCACTGCTTAAGATGTCAGTGGTCTAATCAGCCACCAGTGCATGTAGGTATGCAGGTGATATCAAGACAAGTTCAAACCAAGCATTAGAATGGGGAAGAAGGTGATTTAAGGGAAGTGTGTGGGTATTTCAGAAACTGATGGTTTTCTGGGATATTTCTCATACATCTGTCTCCAGAGTTTATATATAATTGAACTGAGAAAATATTCAATGAGTGACAGTTCTCTGGAAGAAAATGCTTTGCTGAAATCAGAGGTCAGAGAATGACCAGACTGTTTCGAAGTGATTATAACCAAGGTGTAGAAGAGCATCTTTCAACCCAAAACATGTACACTGAAGCAGATAGGCTACTGCAGCAGAAGACCACATCTGGTGCCACTTATGCCAGCTAAGAACAGGAAACTGAAGCTACAGTTAGCATGGGAACATCAAGATTTGACAACAGAAGATTGGGAAAAACATTGCTTAGTCTGATGAGAAAAGAACACACATCAGTATCTTCTTAACTTAGGCTCACAGTGGGCTTTTGTGGAGCTGTGTGGAGGCAAGGCCCTGGACAAGGCTAACACAGAGAGAAACAGACAACTTCATATTTCCACCTCCACACATAGGTCCAATTTAGGAAAAAACAGTTAACCTAACGTGCATGTCTTTGGACTGTGGTCAGAAAAACACTCAGGCACAGGGAGACCATACAACTCCACACACAAAGGCCCCTGCCAAGAGGGCCAAGAGGTTGAAACCTGAAACCTTACTGTAAGGCAGTAACAAAAAAGTCAACAAATAAACTTAAAGAATGGCTTTAACATTAAAACAGATTACAAACCCACTTGTAACCTCGTGTCCAAGTAACTGAGGTTATACTCTACAGTAATTTGCAAGTATTGTAACTATTCTCCTGTGATTTAAAGCGTGTTTAAAACTGTTTGGTGAGTTTTTCTAAGATATACTTAGATAAATATGAAAATGTGCTTTATTTTGGAAAATCTTCCCATCTTCTTAGCATGTGACCATGCAGATATTGCTTCACAGTCTAAACAACTAATATTTACAGGATGTGATGGGGAATATATGAAACAAAAGAATATTAGCCATAAAAAGTCATCAACAGTTGAAATACTACCTCTGAGCCAGCTTGTCTGCACTGAGCCCCCCACTTACTTACTTCTGTCCCCTCTTATGTCCTGGGAACACAATATAGGGTCTCCTCTTCTCATCACAATAGACTTCCACCTGCTTAATTCATCCATGAAACCGGAGCTGCAGGAAAGCCTGTCCCAATTTCTTAGACGTCGACATATGGGTCGGTTTCCACCAGATCTTAAGATGCAGAAATCAGTGCCAGTCAAAAGGAGCAGCTGTCAAGGTGTAATGTTATGTGATATACTGCAGGTAGCAGGGTCAGTTTACTTTAGCAGGGACATCTGGTCCACAGCATTAAAGGTTAAAGAAAGCAAGCATAATCCATTTTCCCCACACACAGTTGTCAAGAAAAGAAGGAGCCTCTTATAATCATTAATGTAACAACCCTGAAGTGTGACCCTGGCTCTCTTAAACCCTCATTTACAGCTGATTCACTTATGAACCTATAAAATGCATTAAAATGTTTGGTTATATGAGGTTGTCTGTGATTTTTCTTTTTGTTTTTTTTTTGCTCCTTCCCTGAGTTTTTTTTTTTTTTTACTTGGTGTGATTAAATAACTCATTAAGGTGTGTGCTTCTGCATCCATCCATCTGCAGGGCGGGATTATATTAAAGCGCCGCTAAAAGTGTTTGTACAGCAAAAACCAAGGACCTGCAAACCTGAAACTTCCACCAATACTCAGACCCTAAAACCATATGTTGCACTGTAATAAGCAACTTAATATTTTTGCAATAACTTGGGGGGGGGGGGGAAGCAGGAAAACTCCTTAGCAGGGAGTTAATATTAATATATTTATTATTTTAATCAATTTAATTCATCTGCATCATTGCTCCACTCTTTTCACCTTTAGAAATGTCAGTTCTTAGACCATTCACCACCCCAAAAATGATTGAGCACTATCTACAGACTTTTGCTTGTCTTAACTTGCTCAGTAGTTTTCTTTACGTCAGTTTATTTAAATGTTGCCAGCGATTCAGGACAAGCAGCAGAGCATTCATATTGTGGACTAACTCACTATCACTTCCAGATATCAGCACATGCACTGGTGTGTGCTAAACATTGTCTTCACTGCAACCTATGAACATCAATAACCCCTTAAGTCTTTGTTTCACTGGAACCAAAACCAGCACAGGCTTCCTTTGCATACTGGAAATCACACGTTTTAGATGCTGTTAAGATGGGTCAGTAAGTGTGCAGTGACATCCAGTAATTAGTGCTGTATGCAAAACATTTGCTTGATCAAACTTAAGCAAAGTATTGGAACTATATGTGAAATCAGATTTGCATCTGGTTTTGCACATTTGGTGTCACTTATGAGAAGGTGTGAGGGAAAAAAACACATCTCTAAAATCACTACGTCACCTTTTCTATTGTAAATTGTGCCCGTGTCACATTTTCAGCATTGAGTGCTACCAAATTACCATGCTCTCATGGTTTACTTGGACCCCCAACCACTGCTGCTTGAGGCTGTAATTCTTCCCGATGTTTACTTCTCCACTCTAAAAGTGTGACCTGGAAAAATTCCTGGAACCTTAATGCCATGGTCCTAAATACCTTATACTACTCAGATGCCAAAATGAGGAACTGCACTCCAGTCATCATAACTTCTTTTAAACGAGGGATAACGAATACAAATCACGGGGAAATTATATTTTTGAAAAACTCAAGGTTAGAAGAGATATGAAATGTCACTGTATTTCTGTTAAACAGAGGTTTAACTTTTGGACTCTGAAGCACACTAAAAGTGTTTAAAAAAACGGCACAGAAACAACATATTTATTCAGTATTGTGATGACGGTTTAGTGTGAGGATGGTTTAAAATCTGAGATTTTATCTGTAGCTGGACTTGGCATGAATGGTTTTATTATTTATTTGTTTTGTTGTGATTGTGTATTTAAATCTTAGGTTACAGATCTACTTTAGGATTAATTTTCCTTACACGTTGATTGTTGCATCGGGGTAGGTGTTATCGACACATTTTCCATTTTTTATGGGATTTCTCATGATTGTATTTCGTCATTTATGCTATCGTGGTTAAAATGAACTTTACTGAATGAAAAAGTGAAGACAAGAGCCTTCAATTTGTAGTTTATGAAGAAAATCTTTAAAAATAAAGTTCTTTATTAGATTGCATCTTCAACAGCATCAACCTGTTTCTTTGACGTCCAGCCAGCTCTCCTGCTAGAAGACAAAGATATTGAGGACTCCCGTCACTGCTGAACTCCAGCTAACCTCTCTCCTCTGCGCACAACATACCAATTTATTTTCTGTTCCAATGCCAAGTACATAACCCCCACCTCTCCTGCTCATCTGTCTTCAGACTGTCAGGTACGTCTGTTTCTTTTCATCTGCTCAATACAACTTCTTACAACTGCCCACCATCATGTCAAACCTATACACATACCCTATTTACCACAACACTCCTTTTCTCAACCCCTTTTTTCCTTTAAATCATCGCCATGGTTCAGTTCAGCTTCAGGCTTCGGCAGTCTGCAATGCTAATATGATTTCTAGCTGAAATGAATCGTGCAAATGTGCTGTAGCCTCTCCTTTTCCCCAGTGGGTTCCCATTTAAGTCCACTTCATTTGACTGGAGTGGGTGGAGGGGTTTTTAAAATTTTATTTATTCTTTTTTCTTTTTTTGAACTGCGGAGGATTACAGTGGACATTTTTCTAGGCTTGATGTTTGTGGGTGGAGTATCTCTTATTTTTCCAGCATCCAAAAAGCCCTGTTAGTTTATTGTCTCTTGCAGTATGCAAAGACTATGTGTGAGTGTGAGTGCGAGTATGTGTGTGTGTCCTGCTGCAGCAGTGTGTTTCTGCAGATCTCTGTGTGCCCAAGAGTGTTTTCTAAAAAAAGTCCTTGCCCTCGGCAGGCAGCGAGGTTTGTACACGACAAGACTGTTTATTTCATAATAACAGCAAGGAGGTTGCTGCCTGTGCAAAGACAGAAAGAAGTCCCGCTCGTGCTATTGTTCTCATGCTTTTGACAAAAACTGCTTTAAGCATGCTTGTAGGGAATCTGGTGGGTCCGCCACATCCATGTTTGTGTCCAGACTGAAAGATACAGGCAGATTTGGCTCATATATTCATGTTTTCCAGATGATTGTTGACTGGTCAAGACTGAAGTGATCCACACCCTCACTGTGAAGAGCATCACATTTTGTTTTTCAAATTGAAATTAATGTTGCTGTGCTTGGTCTCCAGAGGATAAATCCTAATAGGTTTAAATGAAGCTCCACCAAAGGAGAACAGATGTTCTTGATTCTTTTCTCTTTTTTTTTAAAGAATGGGCCTTTTGGGCGGTGGCTACACATAGTGTAAGGTCAATCACTTTCCACAGAGCACAGGCCTGTTATATC